CCAACAATTCCTTTGGGACTCGTTTTTTTGGTGCTGGTGGCTGATGCAAAGGACCAGTTTTTGGGATGCAGCAGTGCAGGGGGAATTATTACAATTAACCCTTGGACAGCAAAGGGTTCTTTCCCATTGCTGGCCAAAATCGGATTATTTTTGTATGCTGGGGCATTTTAAGTTTTCTGAAGGTCAGAAAGACCTTCCAGGTGGGCTGAGGCAAAGTTGGGATTAATCTGAGAAAATCCCATTGCTTAGCATAGCATTTTTTTTCATTTTCCCACAAAATTTTTCTATGCAAAAACAAAAAAAAACATCGGATTTTTCCCTGACTTTGTCCTCAAATCCCAGTTGTCCTTTTTTATTTTCTGCCCTGAGGTGCAACAAATTTTGCAAAAATAGTCCAACTTTGCCACCCAAGGGTTAATATTTACAGGTGCCCATCTCACTCCCCAACAACAGTTGAACCTCTTTGAGTCAAATTTCAAGGGACTAGCAAAAAAAATGATTTAGTGAGGTTTTAAATTATAGAGGTTTGAGCTACAATACAAAGCTCTTTTGTTCTTGGAAACATAGAGAAATAGCCAAAAATTGTAAATGGTGGCATTATTCTGGGGCTTGAATTGCGTCTTAAATGAGTTGAAAGGATGCTGAACTTGTAGGCAGCAAGGGTTCATTTGCCCAATGAAGTCTTTCACTTCCTTTTGAAACACATCAATTTCTGTTTTTCATTGTTTTTTCTTTCTTGTGTAAAGAAAATAATAGCCAACAGGCCACAGACAATTTGACTGACAGAGGTTTGAGGGGGAAAGCCTTTGACTTAGGGAGGTTTTTAATGTATTATATCTAAGGTGATTCAGATGGGGATCTGAAAAACAAATAATTGACTTAGGGGGGTATTGGACTTTGGGAGGTTAGGGTAGTTCACCTGCATTTTGGACTTGAAAAACTTAAAAAAAAAATGCAAGTTCTACCTTGATTATTTCATTTTTTCCTGAAAAATTAAGCAGAAATTTTCACAAGAAAATGTTGGTGGTTCTTCTGGGTCTAAAACTGCAGGGATAGATTGTGAAATTCATGAAAAAATGTGTAAATTTGCCCAATATTAAACTGACTTCCATGTGAAAAGCATCAATTTATGAAATTAGTTGCTTCACCTGCATCCCCAAAATATACTGCATTTATTTGAATAGCACCCTGCCTTTACAAAAGACATACACCTTCATTTTTGGGCTGCAAAATTAAGTTTGAAAGTTATCTGTAAAGAGTTCAAAATTATATGTAATAATTTCCTAACATGCACATTCCAGTTATTCAATCTAAGCAGTTACAGTATTAGATAAAAAAATTCAATTTTATTTAACCCTATTGGATGGCGGCAGCCTGCTTTCCATCCCAGGGCAAAGTTGGACTTTTTTGGTTGGGCCAGCATTTCATTTTCACCCAATTATACAATGGTTATCCAAGATTATCCATCCCTGCCCACCTTGCAGGTGTTGCAAAAGTCCCAAGTCTGCTGGAAAAGACCCAAATCAGACTTTTTCTGCATAGTGACCTCCAATGTGGGCTCCTGGCTGTCAAGCTTAAATGTAAGCCATGTGCAGCAAGGAGTGTTGGGATGTTTTTGCAAAATGTTGTGTCACTGACCACTGGAGATTTTAAAAATCCTACTTGTGTACCTAGGCCTAAGTCAGGAAAAGCCCAATATTTTTTCTAATCCTGCAGAAATTTTTCAATGAAAAAATCTTTCACATTGGGGGTGTCAGTTCATCTGTGTTATTTTTTCCTGCATTCCTGGCAAAGGATTTGTCAAGTCCCAAAGCTTACCAGCTCCAGCATCTGGTTGAAACCAGACCCAAAAGCTTGTTGTATCTCTGAGGCCAGTGAACCTTGCAAAAATCCAGTTTTTGCGGGACTCACTGAGCCTCACTCAAGGACAAGAAGTGGTTATCACTTCTTTGAGAAGTCAGAACCTAGTGTTAAAGGGCCTTTTAACTTTAAATTACCTCATTCAATATTCTGAGCTAACCATTGACTCTGCCATTAAAACAATCAAATCAACAGCCAATTGATGAACTGGGCAATGAGAATGAACTCCTCTGAAAAGAGTTTGAGTTCTTATTCAAAACTTGCATTCTGATGGCTGCACAATTCAATTCCTTTGCCTGGAATCCAATGGACCCATGACAGGATTGGTACCGGGTCATCTGCCAGTTGTTCAAATCATGGTCGCACACCCGCTGGTTGTCAAGCGCCGGTCAGTCTAACCGCCAGCCAGGGCAGTAATTGGCATTGCCAATCCCCAGTCCACCAAACTGCAGTCTGGTCACCCAATTGTTGGGGCACCCAAACAATTGGGTGACAAGAATCATGCTGGTTCTTTCTGGAATTTTCTTCCAAGAACTGCCCTGGCTGGTGGTTGGACTGACAGGCGCTTGAGGACCGGCGGGTGCGCAACCGTGAATTTACCAACCAGCGGCTGACCAGACACGGACAGGATTTGCATGGGAGGTTCCTGAAAACAACAGAAAATTTGCCTCCCAGATTTTTCCCAACTTAGGCCTTCTCAACCTGGGAGCATTTCAGTGACCTTGGGTCAAACTGAAATGTGCTGCCCCCCCCAAATCCTGACTCCTCAGTGCAATGCAAAGGAACCCTCTACTGTCCAATGGTTAATATTTGAATGGGAAAAAACAGGCCTGTGGGGGAAAAAGTGAGCTTCAAAGATTTAATTTTTTAATTTCTCAGTAAAATTTGTCTTTGGAAAATTTAAAAAAAA